CACCGTTGTTACGTGGGAGTCACGCAAATTGAAGGATACACGCGATCCTATTTAGCGCGCGTTACATCCGATTAGAATATGTCGCGTAAGTCTTTAAAAAGCAAACGAGGGGAAAAGGTCGAGCACGCTGCAGCGACTACACCGCTCCGGTGGTGGCCGAGAGATGACTATACTACTGCCAAGAGAGAGAACGATAAGCCTCTATTATCAGCCAGCTTTAAATGAAGCGAGATTGATCGCGTAAAAATAACTGGCGCGCGGCACAAAAAAGAGGATCACGTGGCGGGAATGCGCGCGAGGTGCACTTTGCGACGGCGACTATATCGGTGCGCCTTACGCGTTCGTCAAGACCGTCGTCTGTGTACGTCACCCCGTGGGGGTGATTTCCGGCTCGGGAGGGGTTTCGCGTGAGCCGCGTGCCCCGCGTGCCCCGCTCGCCGCTCCTCCGAAAATGCTCGCGGGAAATGATCGCGGTAGTGCCGAGTGATGACGATTGGCGATTGGCGAATTGTCCGTAACACGACTAGATGATGACGGATTCCCCGACACCATCGACCAGCAGACATCACGACGATAAATGCGACAAGCCCGAGAGATCCGATAAGACGGTGTTGCTGGTGAGCGAAGTCTCGAGTCTCGGGCGAATCGCGGACGGCCTCCTCCTCCTCTCCCCCCACGTAGCAGCCAACGAAATTGCCTTTCCCCGAGCCGATGTAACTTTAACGAGCTTTCGCTGCAACCGACTCGCAATCATTTTTCACGTCATCGCACCGACGAGATCTTTAATCCGATATGCAATCTTCTTAATTCACTTTTTAAAGTCCCTCGTTGCCGCGTTACTTTCCCATTTTATTTTCCGCGGGCTACGGATATGAATAATTGATGCTGGGGGAATCGTTGCTTAATAAAATCAACTCGGGACAATGCAGATACGATATTTTCTACGGATAATTACGGGCGGATAATTACTGATCGGAGTGATTAGCGCGGCGTTATTTTTTAATTTGTCCAGCCGTGCGCCGCGCATCCCATCAACGATCACATTGAGCGTTAATAATTATTCGCGACGCAATCGATTCATAAATTATCGACGATACGGCCATTATCTGTCGCTCTCAATTATTTAATAATGGCTCCCTCGAATGTCGAATTATGTGGCGAGAGTTTCGCGTTAGGCAAACATATCATTATTTGATACTTGGACGAGCGTGTACGAGGGAAATATAATAATAGCGAGAGGAGTGTGGAGGGGGGGGGGAGAGAACGAGGGGAGAAAGGGGGATGATATTGCCACGTTGAAGCGCGCGGTATTCGGAGCGTTTCCGCCACTTCGAATGGGATAATCGATGGAGCCGATCGCGAGTTTCACTTTTCGTGCGTTTCAGCAAATCCAGGACATAAACAGCCAGGTAGCGCAGTTCCGAGATTTGCTCATTAATATCGGACAGCCGCGCGACTGTCCGGAACTGCGTGAAAAAATACGGAAGCTGCGTCGTAGCTGCGTGGAGGCTTGCAAGAGCACGTCTCAACTGGTACTGCCGCACGTACAAAGGTGAGCTTTCTTTTTCTTTCCTTTTTTTTTTTTTTTTTT